CCTTTTTTTTTTTTTTTTTTTTTCCCCCCCCCCCCCCCTTCAATTGCATTTTTTGTTTGACAAGATCGATCTTTGTTCTTTTTGGAGGGATATCATATTTTCACTTTAGATCATTACAATCTTATGAAGCTGGACTTGGAGACTGTTTTTCCTCTCTTTTTTAGATAGGTTTATCAGGGTAATGTACGTTAGATTAGTGTAATATTTAATTAATTTTTCCAAAAAGGCAATAACACATAAACCTTCTTTTGTCTTCAATTCAGATGTCAATTAATGGATTACAAATGTGTTAGTGGCCTTCTATCTGATGAAGATGTGCATAAAAAAAAAAACCTCATTTGAAATTTTATGTAATCAATCATGTCAAACTTGTCCATTCTTCTTTATCTAAAAAACTTGAAGAACTCCTGAAGGGTTTGCTAAAGCCATCTGTATATGTTGTGAAATCATTGGCCAACATTTGCTGTTCATCTATCTCCGTTTCGGTACTTCACTCCTCCTTGGAGCACCTAACAATTGTCTTTTGGCTTTCAACTTCATCTCTGTGCTCCATTTCTTGCTTTTTACAATGTTTGGACAATTTGTGGCATATTTTGGTCAATCATATTTCCTTATTCGGCTGTATTGTAACTCAAGTTTATATTTCAAAACTAATATTATGTACTGCTTTTCTGTGTGAATAGTTGTCCTACCCAAGAGCTTTATGTTTGTATTTGTCCCTGTAACTTTCTTTGTCATTGTTGTACAATGAGATGAGGTCAACGTAACTACCATAGATTTGATATACATATTTAATTCGCACTTTCACGGAAGTTGAAATCATTGACCAACTTGATCATCTTTCCCTTCTTTTTTTGGTGGGCTTTTGCGTTTTTTTTGGCCCCCCCGGGGGCGGTGAGAATCGCAGGTTAATTACTGTGCTGGAAGCTGGAATAATATCTATCCTATTTCTTTCCCCACCATTCTTTTCATTGTATGTCATTTAAATATTTCTGCATCCACTAGATGTTCTGGTGATCATACAAAATATGGAGACTTAATAAATTTTAGGAAAGTTTTTTTTACTATATAACTTCATTTTTTTTTTCGGTTTTACCACTGGTTGGTTAGTCATTCATTGATATTTATTTTTAATATAGTTAATTTTTTTTAGGAAGACCGAAAAATGGCTGCTCGGTTGGCTACTACAATGTCCAACTCACTGAAGGGCAGACCTGTGCAGGTATTTTAGTGTCGTCTTATTTTTCACATTAGAAAAAGCAATGATGACTAGGATGAAATATGTGCTTCATGCAGGGTCGCGTATTCCAAGGGAAAGAGCCACCACAATTCGTTGCTATCTTTCAGCCTATGGTGGTCCTTAAGGTACCCTCCTCACATATATAACTTTGAAATTATATTGCTGTTTCAATAAAAATAAGACAAAATTAATGATGTGCATCCCAAAATTGTTCCTAAATTTTGTCCCTTCGGGGACATCCGATAAAATTAGAACGATACAGAGAAGATTGGTAAACAATAGGTCTTTGGTCCAATGATACTCCTTATCTTATGAAAATTTTATCTTCTTGAGGTCAAGGGTTTAAGTCCCCCCTCCCCTTAAAAAAAAAAAAAAAAGTTCAAAGGTTATCATGGTTTCTTTAAATTTTAATGAGCTGATTCTTTTGTTAGGGTGGAATGAGTTCTGGGTACAAACACTATATAGCAGACAAGGGTTTGAATGATGAAACTTACACTACCGATTGTGTTGCACTCATTCGGATATCAGGAACTTCTGTGCATAACAATAAAGTTGTGCAAGTTAATGCGGTATGCTCATTGGTTTTTTCTTTCTTCGGGTAACTCTAATTTATTTTTCGCTAGTATTTATAATTTGTGGGAAGAATAGTGTGCTTGTTATTCTCATTGATGAATATCACCTTTCTCTTTCTATAGAGCTATTTACCTTCCATAATGATGGCGCAGCCATTGGTTGGTTGGACTAATACAATCGACTTTGGAAGTCTTGGCGAAAGACCAGGAATTTTTGATCCAAAGAAAAATGTAATTGGTAGTGTTATTATTAATATTATTATTTGATTTATGAGTAGTTGTTTGACTAGGAGTAGTAATTAAAATTTGATTAGGAAATTATTATAGAATTTTAGTAGGGTAGGATTTAAGAGTTTGATTATGAAACTCTTTTAGTATTTTAGTAGGAAAGTAGTTTTTATTTAGTAGGGGACTTGACCTATAAATAATGTTGTAATTCCAACAATTTTTATTAGAGAGTGATATAATAAAAAATGATTCTCTGTGGAGAATGTGTATTTTTTCACCGATTTCTTGCGAGGATGAGGTAAATCCCTTTCACCCCCTCGTCTTTCTTCTTCTCTTTCTATTCTGTGATTTCTAATCCTTCCCGTCCTACATCAGTTTGGTATTAGAGCGAAATTTCGATGTATTAGTTTCTTGCCAAGTTACTATTCATCACCGATGAAAAAACAGCACAACAATTATAATTTTTGTTCACACCAGATTCTTCGTCTTTGTAGCACGTCAGTCGTTTGCATCGTCATCAATCAGGTTGATTGTCATTACCATTACTATTCCTTTTCCCACTTTTGGCTCCCTTTGTTGTGGCTGAATTTTGGAAAAAAAAATCTCATCTTTGAATGAGTATCCAAAACCCAAACACTGTCCAGCCCAAAAAAAAAACATATATATAGCTCACAACTGTGACCCAAGCCAAGGCTAAATTCTGCCCAACCCAAAAGCCTACACAAAAAAAATAATAAAAAAATAGCCCAATATCATGACCGACCCATCTGAAATTATACAAACACCCCCAAATCTTCTCTGAAGTTATAGATTTTACCCCAAAAGTTTTAGAAATTATACTTTTACCCCCAAAATGTTAAGAAATTATACTTTGGCCCCAAAATTTTTTGAAATTACGTTTTGGCCCCTAAAGTTTTGAAAATTGTAGTTTAGCCCCAAATTTTCTCAAAATTATAGATTCACCTCAGAATTTTTTTTAAAATTTTTTTTTAAAACTCTTTTCCAATCTATATGATTTCCAACGCCGAATTAAATGTTAAAGTGGAGGCTTTATCTCAAGGACAAGTTGATTCACAAAAAAACCATGAATGAGAAGATGGATTCACTAGAGGTGTCCATAACATCACTAAATGAGATGATGGAAGCTTATCTGTTAAAGGAATTGAGAAAAACGCCGATAATACTCCATTATCTTCAGTTATCAATCCTCCACATGTACTTGCACAAACCCTTCCACCACGAGCTCAAGTTCAAGAAGAACCCAGATTATTTGATGTTGATGAAGGGGTTAAGCTAGAAGTTGGAGATTTTCTTGGGGCTAATAATTCCGAAACATTCCTTGATTAGTTGCATAGCCTTGAAAGCTTCTTCAGATGGCATTTTTTTGACTGATGAAAGGAAGTTATTTTTTGCAAAATTTATGTTACAGGGTGTAGCAAGGCTTTGGTGGGTAAATTACTAATAAACTCATTTTAATAGATCATGGGATGATATGAAGACTACTATGACCCGCTACTTTGTGCTTGCTAATTATAAGCAACAAGCTCATCTACAGGATACACAATTGAATTAAGGGAGTATGTCTATCGAGGAGTACACAGGAAAGTTCTACAGCTTGGCTACCCAATCAGAGTTCCCATGGATTCAGGATGTGATGATTGTCATGTATAAGCAAGGTCTCAATTCACAAATTTCTATAGATTTAGCTACAAGTAGACTTTACACCATGGCAGATGCAGTTCAGGTTGCCTATCAGATGGAAGATCAGTTGAAAAAGAGATCTTATATGAGATATTCTAATTTCTATGGCACCTCCAATCCGGATCGAGAGAACTGTCATATATGTAAGTCAAGGTAAATCCACTAATAAACCCCAAGATAATACTTTTACTCCAAATAAACCATTTCGGACTAGTGCTAATTCTTCTTCTCAAGGGACTACTAATTCTAAGACGAGGTGTTTTAATTGTCATGGTTTTGGTCATCTCTCTTTTTAATGCCCTTCAAAATCTGTTGTGGTTGAAAAGAAAAATTCCAAGGTGCATAATGATTCTAATGAACCAGAATTTGAAACAGAGATTGTAGAACCTCTTGATATGGGTGAGGTTAATTTTGATGATTTGAATGATGATCATTTTATGGGTGTTATCCGTCCTTTACTTATTGCTAATAAAAAAGTTGTTAATAGTGAGTTTATTCATTGAGGAAAAATCTTTCAAACAAGAGTTTGTTGTGAAGAAAAAATATGCTTGTTAGTGATTGACACGGGAAGTTGCATAAATGTGGTATCAGAAGAGGTCGTGAAGAAACTAAATTTGAAAGTTGAACCACATTCGAAACCATATTATGTGGCATGGATTACTAATATCAAGCTGAAAGTTGATAAGAGATGTCTAATTACATTCACCATCGGAAACATGAAAGAGACTGTTATGTGTAATGTGTTGTTTTTCAAGCTTTGTCATATACTTTTAGGGCGTACTTGGATATGAGATCGTGATGCACAACATACGAGGCGTGCTAATACCTATTCTTTTGCAATTGGAAGAAAGAAGTATACTCTTACTTGTGCTACTGATGTGCGTACACTACAATTGAAAAAGAGGTCGTTATTGATTCAGAGAGCTTCTCCATCAGATGGTATTCTTGCTCCTTCTCCTTACTCGCTAGAGTCGAGTTCTTATCAGAGGGGAATAATTGATGGTGCAGCCATTGGTTGTTTGGACCAATACAGTCAACTTTGGAAGACTAGGTGAACAATTAGGAATTTTTTGTCCAAAGGAAAGTGTAATTGATAATTTATTATTATTATTATTATTTGATTTATAAGTAGCCCGTTTGACTAGGAGTAGTAATTAAAATTTGATTAAGAAATTATTATAGAATTTTAGTAGGATAGGGATTTGAGAGTTTGATTATGAAACTCTTTTAGTATTTTAGTAAGAAAGTAGTTTTTATTTTAGTAGGAGACTTGGCCTATAAATAATGGTGTAATTTCAACTATTTTTATTAGAGAGAGTGATATAATAAAAAGTGATTTTCTGTGGAGAATTTGTGTGTTTCTTCACCGATTTCTTGCGAGGATGAGGTAAACCCCTTCCACCCCCTCTTCTTTCTTCTTCCTTTTCTATTCTATGATTTCTAGTCCTTCCCGTCGTACATCACATAAATTTGAAGCTCCGTATTCCTGGTCTTATATTGACTTGACACCTATTCCTGTGTTGCAATACTGCTTCCCAATACTAACATAGTGCAATGTTGCTTTCTTTATATGATCATACATTTTAAACTTTTGTGGAGTAAATGGTCACCCACCCACCTAATGTGGAAAGTGGTTAGAGGTTCTGGGTTTGAATGAAAAAAAGGCAAGGTGCTGCAGCTTGCTCTATTTTACCGTCATTATGGTGATCTAGGGTGACAGAAAAAGGACCTTTTCGATAGATATGCTGCTTGGAGCAGATGTTGCATTTCGTTATGGTCTATTGAATTTCTAGGGTATGCACCATCGTCTGGGAGGCTAGCTCATTCTCATCTTCTCCTATAACCAGTCATCTTCGGGCATCCTTGAGGTGATAGCTCCTCCATTTGAAGTATTGGGTAGTTGGGGAGCTTGCTGATCGAAAATCCCATTATTGATCAAAGGGAGCTTACTGTGGGAAACTTGAAAATACAATTTGAAGGGAGGCAGGCATTGATCCTACCAGATGAGTATCTGGACTCTTAACTGTTCTGACGAACAGTCACTAATCAGTTATACTTTTCCAGAAGATGATTGGAAATTGGTCCGATCATGTCAGAAGAAGTGAACTATAGAATAAATGTATCACCCAGAACCAAAAGTATCAGCCATTACCGATACAATTCAGCCAAGTCATATTCTACTCGTCACCTTCCGAACCAATACTGTTCCACAATTCATTTACATCATGAGTCTCACTTGACTCGGTTGAGTTCTCTTTTGGGATGCCGCAACCGATCCATCTTAGTCCCTTCAAATCGATGGTTGATTCTAGGACCTTGAACCTTGGCCAGAACTCATCGGCATATTATTTTGTCTTCCACGTCTGGTGCGGCAAATTGTCTGGGCACAGGAGTAAAAATTTCAAAATGTGCTTTTTTTCAGTGGGACGCATCTCCATTGCTCTAAGGTTAAGTAAACAGGAGACCCATACATACCGCCGTCTAGCACAAGAAACTTGAGTGCTTTACTGTCAATTTTCAGCCTGGTGGAAGGGATATTCCTCTTTATTGAACTGACAAGTAACTGATGTGGTGACCAGCCTAACTTAATAGAAATGAATAGCAATTTGCATGACATGACTGTATATCTGCATGTCATCAGGAATTCTGTTGGAGACTTAAAAGTAATTTTCTTGACACTTTTGACAACATTAGCTTACGTATAATTCATTTTGGCTCAGGTTGCAACCTCATTGAACTCAAATGAGTGTTTCCTTCTACAATCTGGCTCTTCAATATTTAGTTGGCATGGAAATCAGAGTACCTTTGAGCAGCAGCAGTTGGCTGCAAAAGTTGCAGAATTTTTTAAGGTATGCTCTTTGCAGAAGATTCTCTTGATATTATGTATCTATCAGTAGTTATTTTTTGTGTTGACCCTAGGAAGTATGAAGGGCATGATTTTCTCAACCTTTTCAGAAGTTTTTCTTTCTTATAGCTTCCTTTAATTGGAAAGTTGATTTAATTAAGTTTAATTTTCTNTGGGTAGTTGGGGAGCTTGCTGATCGAAAATCCCATTATTGATCAAAGGGAGCTTACTGTGGGAAACTTGAAAATACAATTTGAAGGGAGGCAGGCATTGATCCTACCAGATGAGTATCTGGACTCTTAACTGTTCTGACGAACAGTCACTAATCAGTTATACTTTTCCAGAAGATGATTGGAAATTGGTCCGATCATGTCAGAAGAAGTGAACTATAGAATAAATGTATCACCCAGAACCAAAAGTATCAGCCATTACCGATACAATTCAGCCAAGTCATATTCTACTCGTCACCTTCCGAACCAATACTGTTCCACAATTCATTTACATCATGAGTCTCACTTGACTCGGTTGAGTTCTCTTTTGGGATGCCGCAACCGATCCATCTTAGTCCCTTCAAATCGATGGTTGATTCTAGGACCTTGAACCTTGGCCAGAACTCATCGGCATATTATTTTGTCTTCCACGTCTGGTGCGGCAAATTGTCTGGGCACAGGAGTAAAAATTTCAAAATGTGCTTTTTTTCAGTGGGACGCATCTCCATTGCTCTAAGGTTAAGTAAACAGGAGACCCATACATACCGCCGTCTAGCACAAGAAACTTGAGTGCTTTACTGTCAATTTTCAGCCTGGTGGAAGGGATATTCCTCTTTATTGAACTGACAAGTAACTGATGTGGTGACCAGCCTAACTTAATAGAAATGAATAGCAATTTGCATGACATGACTGTATATCTGCATGTCATCAGGAATTCTGTTGGAGACTTAAAAGTAATTTTCTTGACACTTTTGACAACATTAGCTTACGTATAATTCATTTTGGCTCAGGTTGCAACCTCATTGAACTCAAATGAGTGTTTCCTTCTACAATCTGGCTCTTCAATATTTAGTTGGCATGGAAATCAGAGTACCTTTGAGCAGCAGCAGTTGGCTGCAAAAGTTGCAGAATTTTTTAAGGTATGCTCTTTGCAGAAGATTCTCTTGATATTATGTATCTATCAGTAGTTATTTTTTGTGTTGACCCTAGGAAGTATGAAGGGCATGATTTTCTCAACCTTTTCAGAAGTTTTTCTTTCTTATAGCTTCCTTTAATTGGAAAGTTGATTTAATTAAGTTTAATTTTCTTCATATAAGTTAGTGAGAGTCTAATTTCATTTTTTTGTGGTTATTATTTTTTTTTTAATTTCACCCCGTGCATAAGCATTGAGAGCTTCTTTGATGGGAAAGTGTTAATTGAGAAGTATTCTACGGACTCTTTTTTTTTCTATAGGCAACAATGTTTTATTAATAATTGAAAAAGGTTACAAAAAATCAATCAAAAGTGGGTAAGTCATCCAACCCAATGCTAGCTGAAAAAGAAAACCAAAATAAAAACCATACAATCACAACTAGGAATATTACCACCACACTAGATTTCACACGATGTTGACCAACTCACAATAATGCACAAAAGAGGGAGATTCTCAAACCCCTTGGACACCGATGGCCAAAAAAGGCCAAAAAAAATAAAGTCTATCCCATAAACTTTTAACCTACTCGCATTTATCTTTAAAGATCCTCTTGTTCCTCTCTAGCCAAATAACCCATATAGTAGCAAAAAATGCACATAGCCAAAGGGTCTTCATTCTTCTATTTCCTTCAAGATCCATAACATCCAAACTGAGCATATAGATGACAGGGATCTCGGCGCTACCCAACATAGTCCCACAAAGTGCTCCATAGTGAAAACACCATGGGGCAATGTGAAAATAAATGATCCCCACTCTCACATTTGCATGGGACTTGGGAGAGAAGAAAATTCTAAGGTTGCCTCCTTAAAAATTGGAATATAATCTAAATGTATACATAGGATTATAGGCTGAAACTAGGAGTTCTCTCCCTTGGCGTAATACTTTTCGTCATCTGAGTTGGGAAGTTTTAATTGCACAGCCAACATCTACGATTATTTGGTTGCTGTGTTTAACTATTTTGTTGTAACTTGTTTCTTTTTTGAGAAGCCCTTTTTTTTCGACACCACTGTTGAGGATATTGGACATGCATTGTTTGTAAAAAGCCTAAGCATGGGCGAGCTGGCTTATCTTGTGGTAACGAATACATAACTTATTTTAAAGTCTATCGTGAATGATTTATATTCCTTACTCCCTTTCACTAAGTTTTGACTTGTTCAGGTTCCCCAAGTTTGAGATATGATTAGAAACATCAACTTTACTGGATGTAGTCATTGCTCGTCCTTAATTAATAGATATACTAATTGAGTTGGAATGTTATTATGATGAGATATGGGCACTCCTACAATAGTGAGTCTTAATGTGGTATGCTCGAGTTTTTGAGCTTGGAAATTAAAGTATCTCCCACTGTTTGACAAATTTCATGTCAATTTTAATTTCAGCCTGGGGCAGCTCTGAAACATACTAAAGAAGGAACCGAGAGCTCAACTTTTTGGTTTGCACTTGGAGGAAAACAAAGTTACCCCAGCAAAAAATTAGCCCAGGAGATTGTTAGAGATCCCCACTTGTTTACGTTCTCATTCAATAAAGGTTGCATTTTATTCTTTCTTAGTATGGTCATTTGAATTCTTATCTCCCTTTATAAATTTGCCTGAGTTCTTTTTTACCATATTTCTATGATTGATATCTGGAAGTTAAATTTTTTTGATTAAGTTGATTATCACCTCTAACTTTTTTCTAATGATTACTCCTGGTGTCATGGGGATCCCCAGGAAACTTTGAGGTGAGTTTTAGACTTCAAATCTTATTAGTTGCTTACATATTTATTCAGTTTTAATTAACCCCTGAACATTTCACATGTGTTTTACTTGATAGGTTGAGGAAGTTCACAATTTTTCTCAAGATGACCTGTTGACTGAGGATATCTTAATTCTAGACACGCATGCTGAGATCTTTATTTGGGTTGGTCAGTCTGTAGACCCCAAAGAAAAGCAAAGTGCTTTTGAAATTGGGCAGGTGCTACCTCAGTTGTGTCTCGTCTCAGAAAGTACGCATTCATTGTTTACTTTGTTAATCAATGAAGTTCATTGCAGAAATACATTGAGATGGCTTTATCTTTGGAGGGTTTGTCTCCGAATGTGCCCCTGTACAAAGTCACAGAAGGAAACGAGCCTTGCTTCTTCACAGCATTTTTTTCATGGGATCCTGCAAAAGCAACTGTATGTGCTGCCTTGACAGAATTTCTCTTCTGTTTTTATATTTTGATTGGTTCATAATACAGGCATATGCAATGAGAGGAAATAATTGTGAATTATGTATTGCCCTGAGTATGCATAGTTAGAGATGAAACACAATATACGATAAAGAGGGTTTTTGGCAAAAAACCAAGTTTCTTGAATCTATTTTAGCAACAACTACACCATAGTCATTGCTCAAGGGCAGAATGGGTGAATTGGAAACTTCAATCTGAAGCAGAAGGGGTCACAAGTGTAGTGTGAGCTAAGAGTTACTGGAATATGTCAGATGCAGGGGCAATGTAAAAATTCAAAACTAAGGGTCCATTCTGGAATGGAACAAAGATATTATATATGAATAAGAGTGATCAAATTGCAATCTTGAATATTTTAAGTGGGACTAGCGTAACATCTTGAAAATTACAGCAAGGTTAAAAGGTCTAGGATGAAATTTTATGGCCTCCTTAGTCCTAATGTTGCCTTGCAACTGCATAGAGGCACACGAGGAGGACTATTTGATACTTTACAAGAACAAAAGAATAGTTGCATTTTATGTTTAGCGGATAGGATGCTGGAAGCAACTAGAATACCAACATGAAAAGAAACCTATTCATTTGAAAGCGATAACATAACAGTAGTGTGTGATTTTATACATGAGTGATTAATAAATAACATTAGCTGTGGTTTTTACCAGGGATGAACAATGTAAAATGAAGAATTGCATCTAGAATGTTATGTTTCTTGGGGAGCACAAAAGTTTAGGTTAATTTGGACGTAAAGAAAAAAGTTTGAGCATGAGTAGCGTGATTTTGAACTGCTTGTCCTAAGAAAACTTTTGAGGTAATATGATTCCTTCCTTTTAGAATAGGCTTCTCTTTAAGTACTAACAACCAATATATAAGCATCGCTCTTAGCAAATAGAAAGACAGCTATCACCAATACCTCATGGTTTTTGCGCCATTGTTTCAAGCATGAAGTTAAGGTGGATGTGTGGTACAACTGAGAAAAATAGAATTAGGAATGAGGATTCCGTGAAAAAGTAAGGGTAGTAGGAGAGAAATTAAGAGAGAATCGTGTCACGTCGTTTGGATATATTTATAGAAGGCCTACTATTGTACCGGTGAGACCGAGTGATGTAATAGCTATGGATAGTAACCGAAGGGGTAGATGAAGACATAAATTAACTTTAAAGGAAATAGTGAAAAAAATATGAAACCTTATGGTTTAATAGAAAGTATGGCCCATAGACTATGACTATGGCCTATGGCCTATGGCTAGCAATTATTGAGCAGATCAAAATAAGGCAGAGTCCTGAAAGTTTGAAACCCAATAAAAAAGCTAAGTGAAATAGTTCCAGCTACACAATAACCTAAAATCAACATGATATGGACTAGAGTTAACCCTACAATTGATTGTACAAGTTCCAAGCAGCTCCACGAGAAATTCTTGAACTGTCCCCCTCCTTTGCCGTCAACTTTAATTACGCTAGCGTCTCATATTAGTTGCAAAATTATGTTTTTTAATGTCTTAACTTAGAATGTTATAGTAAATTTTATGTGCATTTTTTTGGAAATTCATTTCAAAGGAAGGTTGTGCTTCTTTTCTGGGCATGTCTTTACTCACTATGTTGTTGTAATTTTTATGTGCATAGGTTTATGGAAATTCATTTCAAAAGAAGGTTATGCTTCTTTTCGGGGCAGGTCATGCTGTGGAGGTAAGTGCTTGATTTACTTGTAGTTGGATAAGATGGCTTAGTTTAACTTTCTGATCTATTTTGTTAGAAGAAATTATTTAATTTCCCCTGAATTACTTTGTCTCATTTTTCCTCTCCTTTTTTTCTTTCTTCCTTGTTTCTGCTGTTTCTCTTTTCTATTGTTTTCATTTTTTTTGGAGAGGTGGGGTGCATGGGCTCAATGATGCTTTAAGAACAAGTTAATGTGTGATAATATTTTATTCTTGTATCCGTGGTTGGATGATGATGTTGTCAGAGTTGTGTGGAGCACTAAAAACCTATAAATAAGAAGAAAATTAGTTCATATTCCAAGTTGTTATCCTCCATTTTATTTATCTTACTACACTTGTCATAACATGTTTTTTTTGTTCTGATTCTATAACTATGGAAATTTTACATTATATCTTTGTAGATAGGGTGTTTCTATTTTGGGTTGTTATGATTTCTTTTTTTTTTCGAAGGTAAAAATTTGATTAGGTTTTTATGGTGAAATTCTTCTGTTTCGAAAATCATGGAAAAGTTTTAATGACCTAGGGGCTAGTGCTTTTTGTTCTTTAGTCATGAACCATAATGCATATGTGGAGCATTTTCAAGGTTGCCTTAACCATTGTTTTTTCTACGGATGATTATTTAGGAAGGAACAGCACATGTAAGTGCACACAATAGAGAATGATGAAATATTTGTTGTACATAACAAAACATTTGTTCATCTGTTCATTGTTGTTTATTGGAGGTAGCTGCCTCCCTGCATAAATTTCTCCCAATACCAGTCATGTGATGCTATGGGTATTCCCGAGTGCATGTCATATATTTGCTGATATGCCTATTGTACCTCGGTACTTCTGAATCTATCAGTTAGATTAATTATCCCTTCATATAATGATATCATCGAGATTATTCTTTGTTTGATTTTTAATTTTAGTTTGTGGGTCCTCCCTTGTGCCCCCTTTTTCTCTTCATCTTTAAGTTTATGGATAAGTAGATTGTACCTCTTGTGAGCTATGCAGCCCAAAGTTTATTTAGGATTAATTTGTGTGCTTTATGGAGAACTTGAATCTATTTGTCTAAAACATAAAGGCCATTGCAACAAGTATTTCCCACGAAGAGTTGTCACACTTGGGCACAAGTTCAGAATACTACATTTTAAGTTTTTCCCCCTCATGAAGCAAAGCGTTTTTTTCTCTGTTAAGCAATTTTTTTTACGAACAGAACACCATTTTTTTGTTACCAAAAAGATAAAAAAACGCAGTAGTTTACAAAGTGTTACAAGAGGGAATCATTATTTTACAGACACCAGGGCAGTAATCATTTGCAAAATATTAGGTTAGAGTCAAGTAAGAAGGATAATAATAACGATCAAAGATTCAAAATTGTAAGAAAAACTGTGTGTGTGTGTGTGAGAGAGAGAGAGAGAGAAGGAACAAAAAAGGGTAGTGCAAGTCAATGCTACACATGTAAAAAATGCCGAAGGGGCTTGCTGAAGCTGTTACTGCAAATGAGTGTTCTACTTATGCTATCTTTAATAATTGGAAGTGATATGAATACTCTTATAGTTTTTAAATGGCATTATTCGTGCCTGCAAACTGAGTTGATTGTGGAAATGTTTGAAATTTCCATCTGTCTGTATGTGCCTTCTCCTCGTGATTTTACTTGAAATAATGAATTAATTGGGCTCAAGATGGCTGTGTGATTTCCTATGCTATTGCCGATTCAGAACAAGTCCAATGGGACAAACCAGGGAGGACCAACTCAAAGAGCTTCAGCCTTAGCTGCGTTAAACTCTGCATTTAGTTCATCTCCTGGGCCAAAATCTACTGTTGCCAGGAGGCCATCAGGAGCAGGCCAGGGATCACAGAGAGCTGCTGCAGTGGCTGCTTTATCATCAGTTCTTAGTGCTGAACAGAAGCGGTCACCTGAGGCCTCTCCTGCCCAATCTAGTAGAAGTCTGCCAGCTGAAGCTAGCCATCCTGGTATTTAAACAGTATATCCTGTTTATATGCTTTCAATTTCATTACTACTGCAAGATCCAATGTGGTCTATTGTTTGTATTATCTCGAACATCCTTCATTGCTGCATCTCTGAATCTTTTTGTTACTTCACCTCTTCAAAATAGTCCAATCTTCTGGATTGGTTTTCTTCGTTGAGTGAAGATGTTGGGTGTACTCCTAAGTAGTTGGTAGACTGAAGTTTCCTCCAAATGATGATACATACATGAAAGGGGGTAGGGGAGAAATGACTACAAATGAAGTGATATAAAGAAAATAACGAATGGAACTGCTGGAAAGCTTGTCATTGTTTTATAAATTTCAGGTCCTGTGAAATCAAACATATATGAAGCCCATAATTAACTCTTCTCTCTTGAAATGAGTTCTCCTGTGTTGTTTTTATGGTTTATATCACCATGCAGTGAATTTGACTCTGAAGGAAATAATTTCTAATGAGAAGACCTGATAGATGCAAGGAACTTGTAGAGTAAACCTGATCTTGTGCTTGAAATATTCTGACATTTGGGTATTGCTTGTAGTGGAAACGAGGAGTGAAAATGCGGTTTCTGAGGTTGTGGATTCTAATGAATCTTTGGAAGTTAAGGAGACAGAGACTGTCACTGATATAGTTGAACATGTCTCGGAGGTTAATGGAGACGAGTCAGGACCGAAGCCAGAGGCAGAACAGGATGAGAATGGTAGTGAAAGTACTCAAAGCATGTTTATTTATGAACAGCTGAAGGCTAAATCTGACAACCCAGTGACTGGAATTGATTTCAAAAGACGAGAGGTTTGTTTTGTTATGATGCAATCAACTTTAAATGCTTTGTGTGCAGCTTCTTGTTCTGATTTTATGTTGATTCTGCAGGCTTATCTGTCTAATGAGGAATTCCAGGCTGTACTGGGGATGACGAAAGAAGCATTCTATAAATTGCCTAAATGGAAGCAAGATATGCACAAGAGGAAAGTTGATCTATTCTAGAAACTTGAATTCACCCAAATCGAGTGACTCTCTGTTGAAGTAGCATAGTTCTTATAGGTTCACCATGCTCAGATTGGCATATCTTGTGTTTTGCTGTCTGCCTTTTGATGACCCTAGCTGTACTATCTATTGGTTTTGATTATGTTGTGCCCGCTTGAAGAGTGTTCCCCCCCACCCCCCCACCCCCCTCTTTTTTGACTGCTGTTGCATTTGTTACGATCTCGGATTGTAGTTTGAAAGACAGAAGGCAGTTCAAATTCTTTTATTTGGTAATTATGTATCTAAATTTGTGGCAATTGGATTCCCTTTTCTTTTTCATTATCATTTTCTTTTTTAGCAATGTCAGATGGACTTAACATGTTGACTTGATTAATCATTGTTATTGATTTAACTGTGGGTCCCAATATTTATCGGGAACCACTACCTATTCAATGGTTGTGATTGATCAAGTAAACAAATTAAATCAGTATTTTAAGTATAAGTAGCATTTTCCTTTTCTTTTTTGTTAAAAAAGGGTGTATATGTATTGCATTTGTAATCAATTCCAATGTAATGAATTTCAAATGATTTGAAGTTGATGTTAGTTTGAACATTTCATTCCTATGGAACTTTGTCAATTCCCTCCCACACATGAACAATGGAAGCTGAAATGTTTGCTGCACTTTTCACATTGTTTAATGCTTTCTACATTTTGATGATTTCTAATTTCTAATCTATTTGGCAAATTTTGTTTTGCACCCTAAAAGATCACAAATGTCACATTGTACCCTAAAAGATCACAATTGTTACATTGCACCCCCTCAATGTAACAACAGGCTAAATATCGGTAGGAATTCCGTCAATTCTAAAAAGCCCAGACCCCCAGAAAAAATTATCAAAACCAGTTAATTGGGAAAAAAGGAAAGCAGCAAATTTATTCTCAAAATAGAAAAAATAAAGGGTGAATGACTCTTTGCACATTAAAACATTACAAATTTTCAAGTTATATCCTGAAAAATTCGTCTCGTGTTGCTTCCTAAAGCCGATAAACATGTAGCAATGTAATCCAAAACTAAATGTTCGTTGCTTTTTTTGACAAATTTTTTTGTTGTTTTTGTCCCATTATCTCATTTTTATATACAATTATTTGTATGATATTCAATTTTAAGCGTTCTTAGTGAAAAATTCGTCCTCAATTTTGTTAAAATGGATCACATCAATCTTTTAATTTGATTGAGAGTGCAATATGAGAATTTTAATTTTTTAGGGTGTAAAATGAGAATGCAAAACTTTTTCAAGATGCAAAGTGTCATTTACTGTAATCTAGTTTAGCTTAGGAAGAAAATTAAAAAATTAAATAAATTATTTTAACATTTTTACTTTCGTTTTTTGCCTTAACCAATGCCCAAAAAGAAGTTCAATAATATAGAAAAAAAAGAGTCTAGAAACAAAAAGTTCGAATGATCGCTAGACGACGTGAGTTTTGCGAGTTATTATTTATCATGAGTTTACATAATATTTGTGAACTCGTATACAAGTTTCACTACTGGGTAAATATTCACCTCAAAACTAAATTTTTTTTTTTTATAGGGTGTTCAGGTTTGTACCGACCATTCCCTCGAACTCGGATATTAACCACCGTAACTCAAGTGGGTTTAGAACTTGTCCCCTGATGAATAAGGATGATTGACCCCTTATTTATCTCACTTACTAATAGACCATCCACCATGTGTGAGTGATTCCACTTTAATATAATGAGTCTCACTTAAATTTATGATAATTAATTTACTATTGGAAAGAAGTATACTTGAGAAAATCTCAATCCGGGATGAAATGTGTAAGGTGATTGGGTTGAGAGAATTGAGGGCAAGTATGAGTAATCGGTCTTCAATGAAACTTATAAATGCATAGATGCATGAAACTTAGAGTCATAAAAATCCCCATTACTTTTATAACTGTTATATTTCCTCCTCAGCATGAATGAAATTTATTCGAATTATTAATTATCTCTTCCATCTCTCACTCTATAAATCATCAAACCAAAAGCCTGGAATGCATGTTTACTACTTTCCAACAAAGGTAAGTTTTCTCCATGTACACAAAACTCCTCTTGATTCAAAAACATCATGAATATTTTTCTTCCTTTCTAACAAGTAAAATCATTGTTATATTTTGATTTCGTTTCTTCTTATTTAGTTTTTAATTTTTGATTACTTTCCTCGTGTATGTATAACACCGAATCTATTCAATTTCTAAAAAAAATTAATAATTCTTAACTTTTCGAGAAATCTTTCATCAAATATAATCATACGTGCATTTCAAGCTCTTTGAATCTACTAGTTCTATCTTTTGGCGACCTGAAATGATGACATGATCAGCAAGGGGTTCTAATTTCCTTTATTTTTTTCCAAACTTTCTGGTGGTCTAGCTTGAGTTGGAATTGCGATGGCGTTACCTAAGCTTCATTTGATTTCTCTGCTGGTTCTTTCTATTCTTGTCCTTGCTCAATGCACTGGTAAATCTCTAAGTCCCTCTATCACCCCCCACCCCCACTCCCCACATGCAACAACACCAGCCAAAAAGGGTAAATTATACTTTGTATCATTGGAATATGGCCCCGACCTTGCATGACACCTATCACTCATCCAGTCCATCCACCCATCTAGACACGACGCCCTTTCTTTACTCCCGGCACTCTTCACTTCACCCCAGGGCTTTCTTTATTTCTAGTACTGTGCCTATCTATATATTATTTAGTCTTTTCTTATCCTCTCGGTAACCCTTTAGACTGGCATTCCGATATCCCTATTGTCTTACTGATTATCTTAGCCCAGAAAAAAATTAGACTTTCCGTAAAGAGTGAGTCTTTGTATGGGTACAAGAATTGATTGTTATTTACTTAAAATTTTGGGGCAAAGTAAAAGAAAATCGCATAGTTCAATAGCAAAGTGATACAACATTTCATCTAATCAATCACGGACCTTTAAAAAGTTTTGTCTATAGTTGACAAAATGAAACAAATAACACAATAGTCAATGACGTAATAAAAGAAATATGAAAGTTGACGGGGGCATAATTAAGAGATCAAATTATAAATTATCCCTAAAGAATGGGTTTTTCTGCCATCTTTGCAATTTTTCTAATGTTGAGTTTATTTTTTAGGTGGTGTGGGAAAATGGAGACATTCAAAGGACGATGAATGCGAAATTAGACAATCCTGCAATACTGATGATGACTGTATTCACCCAGAATGCCCAACCTGGCTTCATGCTTACAGATGTGATCAAGCTATAAAGCGTTGTTGTTGCACTAAGGAATAAATAATGTGTGAAAAACCTTTGATATGCTTTGCTTTGGTGGTCATTTAGGCCAAATATGTCAATGGAATAATTGTTTTTGTGTTTGTTTACTTCCGGTTTCATTATAAAATTTCTTTTATTTAGGAGAAATTAACGGTCACTCTGTGCAATATACGGAATTTATATCCATTATTATCCTACTCCTATCCCCTACCCGCCAAAGCTAACCCCATCCCACCCCACCCCAATCTCTACCTCTATCTCTCCCTTTCTCCCACCTCCACCCTACTATTATAGGGCCATTACGAATTATATAATATATAGTTTTTTTTATAATAAATTATATGTGAAATAGTCAACAACTGATAATGAAAGATTCAAATTTGAATTAGTTTAAAAGACAGTGTGAGTAGTTAAATGAGCAACATGGAATGATTTAATTGGAGGAGAACTATGTAATATATTAAATAATTCAAAATTATGAGAATTTAGTATTTGGGGAAGGAAGACTTCCTAACTTCTCTTCTTCTAAATTGATTCTTATAGTATATAGTACTAGTAGCACCCCATTCACAATGCATGGCCAAGTGTAGATTTGAATATATTATGCAACTATTTTTACAGTTGAAGTAAAATAAAACAAAATTCCAAATAACAAAGCAAGTCCTATTGAACAACGAACCGAAATAAAAGTATGCATCTACTAAACTTTAACGAAATGTAATTGACCAAATCATAGAACTTATTGCACGAAACGGTATCACAGTGAAATACAACCATGAAGAAGGAATAAAAAATCATGACCTTTATTTTCTAGGTCCTATAGCAAAAAGGAAAAATGATTAAAGAGAATATCAAAAGTGACATAAAAAAACAAACGTTACACAAAAAAAAAACTCAAAAATCTTCTATTTTTCAAATTTTTAAGCATTGTGGCAACCCGTGTAATGCGCGGGTTAGTGATAACATTAGAAAATATTATATGTTTCAAAAATTAAGCACCAAATAAAAAGTGTTTTGTGATAATTATCAAGTGCATAGCTGTGCTCAAAACCCCTAACCCATTTAACATTAGCTTTAGATCATTTTTCACAGCCGGTTGCCATTTTCTTCCAACAGGACGGATTTGTACCTTCAACACCATGCAACGCAGTAAATAAGAAATTTTTTCTAGATTTATTATATGATAAAATAAAAACATTGAAAACTAATAATATTTTCAGTTATACACATTGAAGAAAACAGTCACCCCATGTAAATATATAGAAAGTGACTCTTTATAATCGATGTAACATTCTATTTCGTGATTCATCAATACACTTCAATCTACTCTCATACCTTTCATTCGGATGCATTTATTTTTATTTTTTTACCCAATCAGACCAAATTCACTGAGAGTAATGCCCAGACACACTCTTTTTGTGTCTAGATGTGGGTAACTGTCTGCCCCAGACTTTCAGCTTAATTTTGACGTAGTTAGAAATCGATCCACGAAATTTTCATGATATAAATTTTTGTAATTCTTGAAATCTAATTTCTAATACTGTTAGAAGCATCGCAATTGAACATCTGAGTAAAAAGTTATGAACAAAACATTATTGCCAAATTCTTTCCTACGATCCAAATTCTCTCCGGAATGAGTTTTAACCTTGGAATACCTCCAAACTTCTACTACATCCATGTCTATTCTAACATTTTTCGATGTTCCGAATCCCTTTTTGATGTTATTTTTACCCAGAGATTTTTATAATTTCACTTATTCAATTTCTCCTACTCCAAAAATGACAAGTCATATGAGAGTCTCAATTAAATCTATCACATCAATTCTTTTGCACGAACTTCCTAACAATAATTTAACAAATCTAATATCGTACTTAATAATATTATATATATATGTGTGTGTGTGTGTGTGGTTTTACAAATATGGTCCAAACACACTTAAAATGGAATCAAACATACTATATATAGCTTTTTCTCCAAATCCATGAAGTTTATTAATCAGGAAGCAATAAGAAGCAACAGTACAATGGGGACTAATAAAAAATACAAGGGCAAACCGAGGAAGGGGGAAAACAAAAAAGACCAATCATGACAACAAAATACATGAAGATTTTTTTACTCAACCGCTACTGAAAAACATAATACATTAACATTTGATGACCTCTTTTGCTTCAACACTTGAAGCTTATTTTTACACCTTAAAATGTGAGTTGCCAAGAAACCACATGTTGTGTATGCACCATCAACAACAATGACCTGTCTTGTAATATATGAAGCAGAGGAAGGCAAAGGAATGTCACAAGTCCCGAAATCTTTTCTATGGGGCGAAGAGGAGTTTGAGCCATAAGTGGCATGTACATCATCATTATGGATGGATCCATATCCTCCTAGAGAAAATGAATAAATTCAAACCCCGAGTATAAATTCTTTTTTGAGGAAAACCAAAAAAAAAATATTCAGGGTGTTGATACGATAAGGAGTTTGAGAGAGAGAGAGAGATCATAAAGATTTCATAACGGTGGTTCTGACACCCGATGGTGCTACTGTTGTCCTTTGCCCATTCACAAGCCAAGTTTTACTTTGATTGATTGCAGCTGAAAAAGGAAAAGGGTGGTTAAAATTTGAAAGAAACTAGGAAATTAATACAATGCTTCCATTTCCAAATGCTTTTAGAAGAGGGTGGGACAGTTGGCATAAATGGTATGGGGAAGCGACATTGGTTTCCATTATACTTTTGAATTCTTCTGCAGTGTAGTCCATAGCTCATTTAAGTACACTTGTAGCAGCATTATTTACCTAATGCACACAACACCACAGATACAAGTTTTGGAAACTTCATTAGCAAAAATGTGCTACACTAAGCTACTCTACAATGAATATGAAAGACAATTTCTTGCTAGGCGATATGTCGATTACAATTATGGAAAGGCCAACTAAATGTTTTTCAGAATACGAGTCAGGATGTTGAGTTTGCTATCAAAAATAGAAGAGACAGCCTTCATTAGCTCTCCTCAGGACGGTCTTGATGACAAATCGCACACTGAACCAGTTATTTTTAACCCCTTGGCTGCCCATTCTTTCAGCTTTTCATTGAGCTCTGTTTGATTCCTTGAACATGTGTGTACATCAGCACCAAACCCAACTCATTCCTCCACTATAGCACACCTAAAATTCATCATGCGTAAAACCCAAATAACCAATTAGAACAAAGAATCAATCTTATATCTTTTGTTTTGTTTGAACGGTTAAGGGTGTCTAGGTCATCTTACGCGCACCTCGACTAATCTCCTCCCAGTCCGGGCAACGACAAATCATCTACGCCGGGACTAGAGTATTCATGAGGGATAAATCTCTTATGATCAGACCCAAAAAGGTTGTCAAAATTTGAACTAAAAACATCTAAATTTACACATATCACTTGAACTACCTTGAGGTTGAATCAATGTTATATCAAAATAGACTACATGTGAGAAAAATATAGAGATACCAACCCAATGCCCCTGATACCACCAGTGACAAGAGCAGTCTTCCCTTTACGGGACCATCTCTCTTCTCTAGTACCCATTTCTACGGATTTAGACAGCTTCTTCATTAAATCCTGGTTTTCCATTTTTTTTCAGGAACAACTCTTCTTTTATTGTTCTCAATTGAAATGTATACGAAATAGAAATAGAGAATGATGGATTTGTTAGGTGGGTCTCTTGAGCTTTTATAGTGCACTTGGGAAATAATTTTAGATGGGAACAATAGCACAACTTGGGTGACGGCAATGGCCTACACTTCCAATGGAATCCTGCACGGATGGTCTCATGCTTCTTCTTTTTTTTTTTTTTTTTGAGATTTTAATGCTATGATGGGTGCTGTCCATTGTTATTTTAAGGACTCATTCCTTTGTCCTATAAATCATCTTTTGGATCAATACAAACTTTACATTCTGGGAAAAAAAATATTAGTAGTTCCCACAAAATAAATTAACTTGTGTTCCGTGTGTAGTATTCTATTCTGTGTTTAATTTCTTTAATTTTGAATTTAGTTAAGTAGACATAGCTTCAATTTGAAAAGAATTTACCATTTGTTTCATTTCAAGTCCTAGCCAAGGGTGATGATTGAGTAAGCATTGAATTGTTATGCTATTGGGAGTCATACATCAACCAAAGTATGAATTAACATCAAGGCCAATGAACCTTTTTTCCCTCCTTACAACTACCCTTAAATTGAAGTTAACTTAGTCAGTTAATTGGTTGGTTTGTTATATTCTTCTCTTTTAGACAGATTTTATGTTGGTGTCATTGTTTCAAACTAGGAACACACTTGATGTTGAAGTAATGGATGTTGATGCTCCCCAAGCATAGATCAATCTTATCAGTTTTAAACAATTGAGTGTATTATGATATTATCTTGTTCCATCACACTACCAGCAACAAACCTTATGCTTTGATGCTAAATATAAGCGCATGATTTGATTCTGCCATCACATTCCTTTTTTTTTCCCCTGATGGGTGCAATGTTATTCATTGAAGTTGAGACTTCAAGTCATTCAAATGTACTAATGGGTGTTGTTTGGGATTATGTTTCTTTGGTAAGAGAATGGAGGCAATGGAAACATGATTAGACGTTTGAGTTATAAATTTCTTACGGTATGCAAATTGGATATTTGAATGTGTCCCTTAAATTAGAATTGTGGAGTGTAATTTCACTTATTGCCCAAAATGATCCACGTTCGTTAGCGTGCATCAATGAGTAAGTAAAAAAATAAAAAAAAAATATATACCATCATAAGATCTTTCTCATAGAGGTTTGAAATTTTCAGTCCGATAGCACAACCATGATATTAGTTGATGTGCATTCTTGAAAGTCTTTTTAAGTCATTCCAAACTATTTTCACAAATTCCTCTTATCATTTTTTTATGATATAGTCGATCTTAAGTAAGATTTTATTAATTATAAATTTTTCGTTACTAATATTTTTTCATGTTCTTTAAATTTTTTTGTATGTTTTACATCCAAGTGTTGCATGTTTAACTCTTATTGTGAATATGTTTATAATTATTATTTTATTATCTTCTAATTTGTCAGGATCCATTAATTGTTCATTTGCAAGACTGTTTGTACACATAAACTAGATTGTCAATAGAGCTGCCGAATGACCCAAAGGAAAAGAATATCAACAAAACCCACTTTAATTAGGAAGGGTTTACCTGCGTTGATGATGGATAAAATATGAAAAGAACACTCGGTACAAATGGGGAAGATCTCTGCTGAAACAAGGAAGCAATTCCGATGGAGATGGTGAGAGAACCAGAGATGTAAGTGAGCAGAGCCGTTATCTGTTCAAAACACTACAACATTATAATACATTTTGACTGGATTACAATACCACCTCCCAAGTGGTATTAAAATAGGCTTAATAGTACTTATAGAGGGTATTAAAAATATACGGTTAGCATATGTATTTGATTTAATATTATACACAACTGTAACTTTTGGCATCCGTAGTATAAGGCCGGATTAAAGTATTTTAAACTTATACAACTCTCTAATACTCTCTATAATACAGCAACCAAATGAGACCTTAATTGTATGGAAATGACTTTTAAAAAAATATATCATGTTGCATGCTCAGCTGCCAATTGATTCCAAATCCACTAGTTTCGTAGTCTTATCTTTGTGTATTATCAACTACATTCTGACCCCTCACTTACAAGCAAAAGCCTGAGGTTGGGACGAAAAAGCTTCTTTAACACTACACAATCATAGAAGCATTGTCCAAAAATGAATTTCATCCTCTGCAATTTATCTAACAGTCCATCAGAGTGACACAATGAGTTCTATATAAAATCTGTCTTTTTAAGGTCACAGCGCAGCAATAGAAAAGTTGCTGGCTAATTGGCTTTAGCCCCTAACATCACAAAAATCTTATTACACTTACCAGAAAAATTCACCCCTTGATACATATGCTTGGTCCCATATACTCATTATTCCTTCCCGAGCAGCATCTGCTGAGGCTGTGACCATGATGGTAATCTCAATTTTGGATGATATGAAAGGATGCTACCAAATTTTCTTGCAATGATCATTGCAGCAAGCTGAGTTGACAACAATCATCAATCAAACTAACTGAACCATGATGTAAGATCCTAGCTTGCATTGAATACAATAAAGTTAGTAACATTGTTGTAGGAAAAAATCTTTTGTTGCAATGGGAAAAACAAAATGATTGCAATTCATTCACAAGAATGAATAGATATGTGAATATTCAATAGAGAACATACACAGGTGCAATGAAATTGGAAACACAAATCAAGAGGGCATTGAATTTGAGGAAAATAACTTACCTTTGGATTATATATCATGTCAGTAGCATTCTTGGGGGTGGCAATTATCTTTCATTTTGTTTTCTGCAAAATTTACATAGTATTAACGAAACTGAAAAAACCATAAAGATTAAAAAACCTCAATTTTTTTCCCACAGCAGAAAAAATTACTTCGAAGTTGACAGTGTACTTTTGCTGCAACTTCCATTTGAAAATCATGAGAATAGGGATCTAATAACTTACCTGAAGAAGTCATTGGACACCATGCGGTTTAGTGCTTTCGATTGGCACACGATTATTGCTTCTGGTAGGATACACTGATAACAGAAATACATTTGGTCATAAATAATATGATGATGAGTCCATAAAAAATATAGAAATAAATATTTTGGGTCATAGATATCATGGAATGAAACCACAAGAGCCAACATTTGGGTGGTGGGGAGGGAATCAGAACTGAGAACAAGACAGAGTCATGAGGTATAATATGGTACTACATGAAAAGTTCTGAAACATTATATCCACTGCTCCCAACCTTATATTCCTAGCTCCAATTCATGGCTTTCAGACTTAACAGCCTAAGAAATGGACAATGTGTGACGTGTGGCATTGAAACTTCATATTATTATCTCAGGGTTGAAAACAGCTAAAGCCAATGCACAGTCATAAGCAATTCCTAAAAAATGGGAAGACTATAAATCTGGAAAGTACTACATGAAGAATTGTATGAGTGGATAGAGGAAAGAATGGGGTTTTTTTTTGCCAAAGCTAGAAAGCAGAGAAGAATAAGAAGAGGTTCTCTGTTACAATTATAGAAAATCAACACAATTTTCTTCCAAATCGACATTAAATTATGGTCTTTTAGGTTCCATAGGAGGACGATGAGATAAACAGCGGTTAGATAGAATAGCAGTGCCTGCTACAGCTATCAGATTTTAATTGCAGTTAGAACGGAATGTAGGCAGGGTCTGATGATTATAACTGCGCTTAATATATTTAGGTTGAGAATGTAAAGAGTCTGAAAAAGGCTACAATTGAGCTTGTATTACTAATCAAGGGTAAATTGGCAATCGAAAGTTTTTACCATTAGCTGCCTTTAAAAAGAAGTATAGATATACTTATAGATAATTTACAAAATTTAATGATGCATAGGAAAAAGTCCATGCCATCCTCTTCTTCAATCCCTTTATATGTCCTATTACCAATTCTAAAAAATTGAAACCTCAGTACCTCCATCAATGGGGATCACATTACTGAAATAGGATTAGTCAACAGCAAAAATTGGCGGAAAATTAAAACCGTTACCACAATTGTCTTGATGCAACAGCATGCTGTAGCTGTTGTCTGTGTGAAAGAACCAGATCCTGAATCTATTACAAGCCCAGAATCATATTTATCCAGGTGAAACATTGTCCGTTTCCTGTGCACTCCAAGAACTCTTCAAAAGCAACCTTGTACTCTGATGAAGATAAGCATTCAAATCATACCCCGCAGACTTCATTCTTTTCAGTAGATCAAAGGCATGCTTCACCTTCTCTTGAGAATGAAGAAGAGACCTGAGCAGCTGGTTGGAAATTCGCGGCATCAACAGGAAACCTTTCTCCAGAGTGTAGAGGAAAATGTTTATTGCTTGATCCAAATTGCCATCCTTGCAGAGACTATTGATCAACATCACACAACTTGGAGGAGACACAATGACCCCGCGCTCCTCAAGAACAGAAAATATCTTCAGGGCTTCCTCGGCCCTCCATGCCTGACACAACCCAACGAGCCAAATAGTGTATGGTGCTGAATCAAATTCTCTCACCTTGAAGTCCTTTTCAATCAAGCCTCGAACAGCCATTTCCACATTTCCTTTTTCAAAATATTCCTCTGCCAACCTAATTGTTGCATCATCCCAGCCAGGAAGGCTCCTTAAATACTTCAGCCAAAGACTAAAAGCTACAGAAATCTTTTTCTTTCGACAAGACCAAGTCATAAGTGATTTGTAAACTGCGGAGCTGGGGGTACACCCATTCTGTATCATTTCCTCAAAAAGCGCAAATGCATCCTCTTCTCGGTCAACCCTTTGGAACCCATCGATGAGTGTTCCATATGTGACTGAATCAGGGGAATGTCCCTTGATTTGCAGTTCCTTGAAGAGCTTGAAAGCACCATTAATTTTCCCTGCTTTGCACAAGCCATTGATCAAAATGTTGTAAGTCATGATGTCCGGTACAATCCCACTATCAGCGAGCTGCATGAGAAGCTTGTAAGCTTTCAGAATTAACCCTGAGTCACACAATCTCTCCACCATTTTTTGGAGGCTTGCACTATCAAAAACCCGGTCTGCACCTTGGGAAAGCCGAAGAAACAATGAAGGATTTCGTCCAATCTCCATCTTGTAAAACATGATGTGAGCTTCTTCCAACTCACCAGCCTTACACAGTCCCTGAATAAGAGCATTGAAGGTCACAACTGAAGGAAAGCATCCAAGTTTCTCCATCTCATTGAAAATTTGCCTTGCCTCACCTACAAGGCCATTCCTGCACATACCACAGATAAGAATGGTATAAGTGCAAGTGTCCGGAAAAAGATCATGGTCTGAAATTTCTAGTTTAAGAGATCCAGCTTGGTCCAAGAGACCCATATCACAAAACCCTTTGATCAGAGTATTATAGCAGAGAGTGTCCGGTACCACACCTCTCTCCGTCATATCCCTCAACAAATTCAAAGCATCCTTCACCCTTCCTGCTTGAGACAACACCCTTATCATAACTGTGTACAAGATAAGGTCAGGTTTAATATTTGCCTCAAAGAGTTTCTGGAACAAATCGTGCGCTTCATTAAACCTCCCAGCTCTAACTAAACCATCAATCAAACAACTATACGCTTTTACTCCAACAACATATCCATCCTTCTTAAAGCACCTCAGAAGCGCAAAGGCTTCATCTATTTTACCCCCTTTACAAAACCCATTGAGCAAAGCATTGTAAGTAACAAAATCAGGAGTACACCCACTACTTTTCATCGAATTATAGAGTCTGAATGCATCGTCGATCCTCTTTGCTTGACATAAACCTGAAAGAATCACCGTATACGTAATCTTACTGGGCAAAATGCCTCTCTCAGTCATTTCGTCAAACAGTTTAAGCGCATCTTGGGTCTTCCGATTTTTGAATAACCCATCAATCAAAATGCTATATGTAGAACAATTCGGCTCACAATTTGATTTCAACATCATGTTATATACAGCTAATGCCAATAAAATCAAATCTTTCTGAACCATAACATGCAATATCATATTATTAGTAAATAAGTCAGGTTTGCAATCAAACTCTCTCATTCTACCAAACGACTCGACAGCCTTTTCGGCCATTTTCAACTTCCAATAAGCAGCAATCAACACAACAAAAGCATCCGAACATACATGAAACCCACAACTTTTTACCTCTTCAAGAGTTTTCCAATACAAATCAAACCTATTTTCCCCAACAAGCATATCAACGACAAAATTATGCGAAACCCAGCAACGATACCTCTTTCTTTTCGCTGCCCAGATGAAAAATCGAAAACCCAGTTCGGGGTTTTGCTGTTCTTGAAGTACAGAAGCAACAATTTCAGGAGATAGAAAATGAACTACCTTTTCAAGAGCATTCTCCATGGGGTTTACTGTGTTGACAAGATTGATAACTTCATTAGAAATAGATATTTCGCGAGAGGAGGTGAATGGGGAAGTGTGGAAGTAGTGGAATTTTGGTGGGTGGTTGGAGGTTAAGTGGGAGGTTGGTCTGAGAACTGATGGTAGAAGTTTCATCGTTGGAGGATAAGTAATCCTGTTTTTGTTTGTGTTCTTTAGGGGTGTCCAGGAGGATTGTCATTGTTGGTTCATGGGTTTTGGGTTAGGATTTCGAACGAACAGAGCACGATCGGCCGTAGGACTCCGAGATGTGAATGGTGGTCGGCCGTAGAACTCAGGTGGAGGCAGATGCAGAGCGCAGAGTGGGAGCCAGAGAGAGTGATCGATCCAGCGGACTTAATACCACGTGACTATCACGTGATTAAATTTAAAGAAATACTTACTGACACTTAACTCCCCGGAATTTAACACTAATTGGAGAATATCGCCCTAAAAACTAATCATCTCAGATTACACTGATAATTTGTTACTGTTAATTCAAGTTAATTTACCCACATTGGCAGACTATTCCGGTTTTTCTTTTTCTTTTTTTTTTTTAAATAAAAAATACAATACATATTTCATTAATCATAAGATATTACATTAAGTTAAAAATAATTTAAATAAAATATATAATTGAAGGGTCAAAGTATAATTTACACTTTTCACATTTACATTCTTTCTCAGGGCAATGGACCGGAAAAAAGTGGGTATTCGTCCAAACCCGCTCTGTTTGGACCGAAAATAGACTATACATATTAGACGGTGAATGTATACGAGAATACCCGTATAAACCCGTACGAGGATGAAGACGGGGATGTACATACCCTTACCCCGCCCCCGCTACCCGTTATATATATATATACTCGCAAGTCCTAACTAAACATATTTTCTGTAACTACCAATTTAGAAATATGGTAATCAAACTAATAAGTGGAATTATTATGTGATAATCTTATCAACTTTTTTCCCTAATTGTTTTTTTTTTCTATTTGCGCTCACTGATTGAAACTGTTAGGAGTTTAGATTGACCATACTCTAAAAACATATAAGAGAAAGTAAGATAGTTTTGCATTTCATCATGGGTAGAAATGTTGTGAGTCGAGGTTGATGAGTTTCTCTGCTAGAGTGAACTAAGAAATTTTGAGAATTATTGAATTAGCGAAATTTTAAGTTCTCATCTTTTAACACTTTATGTCTGTAATATGAATTATAATAATAAAAATTCTTCTAGGAAACTTCAACTATAGTGTTATCGTTTTTTTAGTTTAATTTTATTTTTCTTTTCTTCTTTTCTCTCTAATAGTTCTGTTTCTCTTTTTGTGGTCCAACGACACTTTAAACATAATATTATATTGTTTTGGATTTTACATTTTGCAATCTAGATTATTCACTAGATTTTTTAAAATGTTGTTGAATTGTTTAAAATATTAGATTTATTTAGAATTTTGGATTATGCTACTTGGGCTTGGGCTTAAGCGGGGACGGGGACGGGGATTAGAAATTTATCCGTAGACGGGGATGGGGATGAAAACTATACCCGTTAACAGGGGTGAACGGGAGATGGATAAAGTTTTTTTAAGCAGGTACGGGGATGAAGACTACACTCCCCGCCTCCCGTTTCGGTCCACTGATATCCCTACCTGTAATATAGCTTATTCGTCAAAAAATTATTAATAGGGTATCCAAAATATTTATTTCCAACCCGAAGTGATAGTCTATTGTAGACGAAAATAAGCTCTAAACTCGAAATTTTTTAATTCGAAACTTGACAATTATCTTAGGATATGGCCATAATTATGATATGGATGACTTGCTTTTTATCGAACCATAAAGGAATTAATTGATTTGCTAGCAATTTTTTTTTCATATCTATATTATCTACTTAAAAATGAAGATTAAGAAATGAATTTCGTAAAAATAAATAAATAAATAAAAACTCTTTATCGGATTTGAAATGATGACTTAAACCAAACGTTACCTTTTAGTTAAAAGAGTTCATTTTATTCAATTCATGAATTAACCCACTATAAATACATTGCATTTATGAATGTATATAATATTATACTATTTCATTCGTATCTTTGATACAATATGTCGAAATTAAATGGTTCGAATGAAAATAGAAAAAATAAAGAATTTTGAAGTTGTAGTTGTAAGCATTATGTTTCTTGGATTGTAGTTCAATTGGTCAGAGCACCGCCCTATAAAGGCAAAAGTTGCAGGTTCGATTCTGTTAGTTTCGATGGATTCCATAAATACATCAATTAAAAAAGTAGAGCAATCAATTATACATATTAATAAGAACACCATAGAAATTCAGCATGACACAGAATTCTAAACTAGCACAAACTTACAATAGATAATAAATATTTTTCGTGCCTGAAGGAACGGAATAATAAAAAAAATGATCAACAATAAATAAAGTTGTATTCACATTCAAAATCAAATCACAAAGATAGAGGAAAGAGAAAGAATTTTAAGCACCTATTGTAGTGGAGGGTGAGCGGTGGTAGTGGGGGTGAGAGACAATGATGGTTGTGGTAGGTGACAACAACAATTACTGATGGTGACAGTTGTGGGTGACAATAGTAATGGTGGTGGTAGGGGTGATTGTGGGACAGCGACAGTAGTGCTAAGGTGGCGACAGTGGTGGTGATGGTAGGCAACATTGGTGTTGGTGGGTGCTAACGATGGTAGTTAGATTATGGTGGTAGTGGTAATAAATATAAAAATAAGATCACAATAGTGATAAGTGGTGACGTTGGATGATGGTGGTGGTAATTAATGATGGGTGGCAATGGTAGTGGTGGTGGTGGTGATGGGGCGATGAAGATGGTGTTGGTAAGGGGTAGTGGTGGGACGATGGCGGTGGTGGTAGGATGGCGGCAACAGTGGTGGTGATAGTGATAGTGATGGTGGGGGTGGTGATGATGGTGGAGGGACGGTGGGGGGTGGTGGTTTTAGAGTAATGACAATGGTGGTGGTGTGAGGGTCACAACAACAATGGTGGTGGGGCGATGAGTGTGGTGGTGGTGGTGGGATGGCGATAATGTTGGCGACAACGGCGATAGTGGTTGTTATAGCAGAAGTGGCAGTGACGACGACGACAACGGTGGTGGTGGTAATGGTAGTGGTAGTGGTAGTAGTGATGGTGGTAGTTGGGGTGGTGGGGCGGTAGTGGTGGTGGTAGTGGTGATGGTGGTGGTAGGACAATTTCATACAGTACTTTTTTTTTAAAAGTATTTATGAAAAATTATAAATTTTAGAAATACTTTTAAAAAATTTCCTCAAACACACTCTTAAGAGTCTATTTTTCTTATTAAATTTGGAGTGTTAATATTAGCCGTCATATTAATTTTAAAATAAAATTTTAATTTTATTTTAAAATGATCTCAACTGCGAAAAGTAAAAGTCATTTTATTTATCTTTTGAGATTTTAATTGTATTATATATATATATTTATATATATATAAAACTTATTTATTGTATAATTTGTATTGTATGGATAAAATATGAGTTCTTGTTTTTTATTTTAGATTGAGTATTATGATCATTTTATACAAATAGTATACAACACGAAATCGAAACAACACAATGACACATAATACACAACTTGATTAATACCTTAGAAGTTTATAACGTTATTTACGAATGTTTTTGCTAATTTATCTACCAAAATGTGACAGCTTCCTAATTTTCCAAAAACTCAATGGTGAAGATTCAAAATCTATCACTACTGGTACAAGAAACCTAAGTATTAGTCCAGTAGTCATTTTTTCTTTCTTTTAATACTAAGAATAATTTTATCACCTAGCAAATTAGGTTAGGGCCTTTTTTGGTGTGTAAACTAATTTTAGTTCTATCGAATTTTTGGCATAAAAAAAAGTCCTTTGATTTTTGAAAAAAATTGAATATAGCCTCTATGTTGGCAAAAATGTTAAGGAATTAGTTAGTTACTCATTTTCATTACCCATTTTTTCCTCATTACATGATTTTAGTAGAAAATATAGTTAGTTTTTTCTTCTTCTTTTTTCCGTTTGTAATTATAGGTTTTTGTTGTATTATCTATCAGTTTTGAATGATGATTTGTGTTTATGGAGAAAAATGTACATTAACGATCTATATTTTAATGTACATGTTTGATGATCTGTTTTTTTAAAATACCTGTTTGACAATCTGTGTATATAGAGAATAAGTTATATTAACGATCTGTGTTTTAGTGTATCTGTTTAACGGTCTATATTTTAGTGTACATTTTTAACGATATGTGTTTATGGAGAATTAAGTACATTAACAATTTGTATTTTAGTGTACCTATCTGACGATCTATGTTTTTAGTATACTTGTTTGACAATATGTGTTTACGGAGGACAAGGTACATTAACGATCTGTATTTTAGTGTATTTGTTTGACAATCTATATTTTTAGTATATTTGTCTGACAATCTGTGTTTACGAATAAGAAGGTATATTAACGATCAGTGTTTTAGTGTACTTTTCTGACGATCTGTGTTTTAATGTACCTGTTTAACGATCTGTATTGTAATGTATTTATCTGACGATTATTGCGTACCTGCTATTTTTTATATTTTTTATTGTGTACCTATTATTTTTTATTTTATATATATATATTAAACTTGCATACTTATTTTTTTTAGCGTATATTAAGTTTAAAATTACACATTGCGGGACACATGGAATTGTTCCATTAAATGAATTAATTACAACATATTCAAAATTTGAACGATGTTTTTAAAAAAATGCTGGATTAAATTTTTGAATTCATAGGACACCTTTGAATTCAAAAAAGAAAACCTATTAGCTGCTTTGGATAGTGTCCTTCTTCCTTAAAACTCCAAGTTGGTGTTGATCATGGAGAAGAATAAGTTTTACTTCAGTAGAAAGAAAATTCACGTGCAGATACACAAAAATTAAATTATCATAGATAAACAAATTAAAAATTATATTTCATTCATAAATGAGAGATTATATATGTGGTTCGTTTGCTTTATATCTATAAACAAAAAATAGAAAAGGTCATCCTTCAACTTTGCCTCAAGATTTTTTGCTTTCTTTCTCTCCTTTTGCAACTTTTTGTTGAAGGAATTGGCCATTTTCTCCCACTCATCTTTGTCT